GAAAAAGGTTCAATAGAATCTAAAAAAGGTTCAATAGAATCTGAAAAGGTTCTAAAGAATCAGATAAAGGTTCAATAGAATCTGAAAAAGGTTCAATAGAATCTAAAAAAGGTTCAATAGAATCTGAAAATGTTCTAAAGAATTAGATAAAGGTACAATAGAATCTGAAAAAGGTTCAATAGAATCTAAACAAGGTTCAATAGAATCTGAAAAGGTTCTAAAGAATCAGATAAAGGTTCATGATATGAATTGCATAGTGTGATTATTTAAGAATTATCTGTAATTTTGATGACTTTTCCATAGCACACTTTTCCATAGAGAAAACACATGAAAATAAATAATTATTTTAGTGAAATATATTCTTCATGTTAATTTTTACAACGATTCTGTGCTCAGTAAATTCCTACTATTGTCCAGAGCTTGAAAATAGACTTTTATGGAAGTGTTTCTTATTTTGTACAGTACATGCAACCATATTATGTTTATTTATTCATTGTTTATGTTTTGCTTCAAATATAACAAATGCAACACTTAAAAAACTAACAATTAATTATGTAAATTTGAAACTTGAGAAAAAATGTTACATTTTCTTCCAATTTAACATGCTAAATCATTTAGTTTTGGCAAATAAAATATCAGCAATTACTATCATTAGTTAAAACTATTTGTGAAGAAAATGAAAATATATGTTTTACTGGCTTAGGATTATTTAGAGTATAAAAAAATATGTATTCTTTGAAGTTCATTCTTAAAAAAAAAAGTATTTCAATCTTTGATTTTAACACTTTGTGTTCTTTTTCACTCTTTATCCAAAGGAATTGAATTTTTGCCACAAACTCAAATTTTCTAATCCATATATCTTTGCAACCAGATGGTGTATGCCGATGATAATTTAAACTTAGACTATTTGATCTAACATATCAAAGGGCTACAATATCGGGTTGCTAAGATAAAGAGGGGAAATAGTTAGAGTTTGTGGCATAAACTCATTTCCTTTCCTCCCAATTGTAAATGTTAACTATCTACTTTCCAATATTGATTAAACACCCTTTTTAGAAAGTGGTAATAAAAGTAAAAGATTCTAAAATTGAAACAATTTGTTTTAATATAATTACTGTCAACTCTAGAAAGAATTTTTTCAAGTTTTAAAAGTTTCACTCTTAAGCTTTTAACAGTACCCAGTGTACTCTGCATATACATATATAAATTGAAATCAAGGTTTTAACTACTTCGTTTATTTTTCGTCCTTGAGTGTACACATATAGGCTATGATTGTGGTTATAAACTATTGAAATCTAATCTAACAGTCTCCATATTCATTTAAATATCTTGGTAGATATAAAACCCATTTATGATTTTGATTTTAAAACCATCTACTAAGGAACTGAATACTTGCCACAAACTCTTATTCTCAAGTCCCCATTTCTTTGCAACCTGATGATGTAAACCTCTGATATTACAAAAATAGTCATAAGGTTTCAAAGATATAGGAATTAGATATTAAAATTTAATAATAACAATATTCTAAAATTTATTTAATCTTTCATTATTTTAGTCAATTATAAGTTTTTATTACTGTCCTAATACATTCCTTATAAACCACAAAATCAGTTTTTAAATAAAAAATTTCTTTGGTAACTTTTAATCAACATTAAGTCTCATAAAGTGACACTTTTTCATATATTCTTATGTTATAAATTTCATTCTTCTTTTTCTATCATCAACACCAATATCAAGTAAAAGTTTTTTGATAGATTTTTCATCAAACCATAGATAATATAATGATATGAACTTTTTTTATGTTGCACACATATTTATATTTTTTTGTTTCAAAGTGTGATATTTAAAACTTGAAACTTCTGTACTCTATTCCTTTTCATTTTATTCAGAACAATTAACAAGAATTTGCTGCATTAAATCCAATTTATTTTTAGAAAAGACAATATTTTTAATCAAATTATTAATTTAAGTTACAATAGAATGAACATACTGTATCATCTCTGTATCAACAAGTAATTGATACAGAGGCATGTAGAAAATGGTCATATTGCAGAGGTTCCTCCCTCCAGGCTTCTTCCTCAAGGATCTCCAGGCTGTCTGCACCTCCCCGCCCTCCAAATACTACCAGGTTGTTGTCCAACACCTCCATTGGTAGATACCATCTCTTTCTGGTCAGCTTAGGACCACTCCTCCAGGTGTTTGTAGACAGTGTGAGGACTTCTACAATATCTAGAGGTTCATTTATACCATTGTTTCCCCCAGCTGTCCATATTTCTCCATTAAACATGCTGCATGCTAGGTCATACCTAAACAAACAAATATTAAACACAATATTCACAAAGTATAATTTTAGAAAGTTTAATTATAATTTTATGTTATTTTATAATATATGATTTTTTCATAAATGCAATTTATCACAAAGGAACTGAGTCTTAGCCACAAACCCAATTTTTCTAATCCCCATTTCTTTGCAACCTGATGGTTTAAACATTTGATTCTCATAATTGGATAATTTTATCTTACAGAATTCATTATTGTAAATATTAAAGGTCTATAACATTGGGTTGCAAAGATATATGAATTAGAAATTGAGAGTTTGTGGCAAAAAATCAATTCCTTTAATATCAATTAAAAGGTTTTTATTTAGAAAGCACCAGACAAAGAGTATGAGTATGAAATAAAAACATTTCATTGATTAATTTATTATTATTTTTAATATTATGAATAGTTGATAATAATAGATTTGAATATTTCAATTCAATGCATTTGTATATAATTGTATATGCATTGTATGTATTTGTGAGAAGTATTTTCAAACTTATTAATCAATTTAAGAATGAATCTATTAATACTAAAAAAAATCATGAAAAAATAAAAAATAGAACACATTTAAATGTTTTAGTCTTCAGATATATTTTAGAAAGATTACCTTGCAGTTGGCATTGATGGAAGCTCTGCAATAAATCCCTCTTCAATACTGTAGACTTCAACAAGAGATAAAATGTCGTTAGATCCTCCTCCAATCAGCATCACTTGACTCTCACTAGAATATAAAATGTTAAGAAATATAAAAAGAATTAAAAAATGTTGACAGTTTTATTTTTGATGATATTATCTATGATTTTGTTCATTTGTGCCAACTTTTGATGTAAGATATCTTTAAATGTTTACAGTTTGTTCTTTTAAAAAGGAGAATTTAGCAAAGTTGAACAATGTTTGTAATAAAAATATCAGTAGATACATCTTACTAGATTTATTTTTGAAAACATGGTGGAAAATATTTGACATATATTCTGTATAAGAATTCATCTTATTTCATCATTATTTATTAATTATATGTGTGCACTTGTCATGATTAATATATATAAATATAAAATATAAAGTGTATACCTGATAGGAACAGCACAGTGACCACTTCTTGCAGATGTTAATTCATAGTTTTGAAGCTTCCAGGAGGATCCATCAAACACCTCCACTGTAGCAAGTCTCCTAGTAAACAAATATATTATTTCATCTGACACAGGTGAAGGGGTTTGACTGAAGTACTCCAGTTTGTGAGAATGTTTATATAATAATTAAATATTTTAATTAAGAAACATTCATTTTTTTATTAGCAAAGAAAGCTAGATGATAAATAAGAACAAAAAGGTTTTTAAAACAAATAAGAATATACATAGAACATACTCCTGTCCAGTATATCCTCCTGCAGCAAGTATCTTGTCTCCTAGTGTAGTCAGGGTAAAGTATGCTCTAGCCACATTCATACTTTTAAACTCTATCCAGTCCATTCCCTCATTCTTGAAGCAGTTTCTAAACAAAAATATTCAATTTCAACTTTTATTTTGTGAATTTTTGTCTTTTTTTAATACATATAATTTATATTCTATATCTTATTATTGTTTGATTTATTAGTTTTCACTAGTTCACTATATTCTACCTGAGGTATCCTATAGGTATATAGGTATGCAACATTTAGGAGTTTAACACAGTTTATTTACATTAAAATGTGTTTAAATCCCCTCTCCCTCCATCACTATTTTATTTTGCAATGAATGTATTTTTTCATTTAAAATTTAATTGTGATTTTAAATATGATGTGAACAATACTGACTGATAGCAAGTATAAAAAATAGTTTTGATTAGTTACTTTTTGGGCATTGCTGTAACGCATAGCTCTAAAAAAAAACTAGCAGAATACTTAAATTTAAAAAATTGTAGCAAAAACTTAGTTTCTATGAAAGGTATTAGTAACTAATTTCTGCACTTATGTCTAGTATTTCTTTATCAAAAGAACTAGATTACTCGCCACAAACTTAAATTTTCTAATCCCTATATCTTTGAATCTGATGGTGTAAACCATTGATATTTTAAACTTACAACAATTTCATCTAAAAGTATTCATAGTAATAAAAATGTCTAAGGTCAACAACATCAGGTTGCAAAGGTATTGGATAAAAGAATTAGAAGGTGTTAAGTTACTTTTTTTTACAGTGATTATTTCTAAAATATAAAACCTAAATGTTCAAGAATTTCCAATAGAAAATGTCTAAATTATCATCCTTAATCATCTGTTTTAATAAGGAAACTTTGAATATGGATTTAGCGCTGAATAATCATTAATTAATAGATAGGTTTAAATATTAATAAAAGTAATAATGTAATTAAACTTTATGTATTAACTCCTAAGTTGCATACCATCATCCCATCCCCCGCATTAAACAATCTGTCCATTCAGAACTGCAGCTCCTAAGATATATTAATATAATTAACAAAATAAAAATACACCTTTATTAAAACCTATATATTATACAAAAAAAATACATTTATTTTCTTATGTTCTTATAGTTAATAAATTATATTTTGTTGTATTATTCATAATACAACAAAATATTCCATATTGTAAGATAAATTAATCTTTAATTCTGTGATAAAGTTAAATTGTGAATTTAAATTTGATTTTCTTGTTGTAAGCTACATTAAATAAATTATGCTTGTTTTTAACTTTATTTGAATTCTTAGCTCAAGATATATTCTTTACAAAAGTATGTTTACCTAGTCCTTCTAGAAAACCAATATCTCCTATTGCCACATCACAGGGATATGAAAACATAGAAAATATCATAATTAAAAACATATTTATGAAACTTGAGACGGGGAGGCATTGATAGCCAGGGGCTGTTTAACACGCAGCCTCCCACTGGAGAGTCAGTTTTTGCAATGATGCTGACTTGAAGAGGTGCTGCTGGATGTCATGCTGCTAATGAGATATTTAGAAATTGTAAAATATTAAAATAAGGATATTTAGAAACTGTAAAATATTGAACCAAGGATATTTAGAAACTGTAAATATTGAACCAAGGATATTAGTAAAATATTGAAGCAAGGATATTTAAAAACTGTAAAATATTGAACACAGGACAATAAAATTATAAAAAAATGTCACACATGACCGTTTTGTAAAACGTAACGTTAAAATTGCCAAAATGAGGAAACTGAACAAGAAAAATAAGTTTTCAATTCTCATCTTGTTTATATCCAAAGAGAATTGGATTCATGTATTTTTTGTGAAGGAATTGAGTCTTTGACACAAATTCTGATTTTTCCTTTACTACAAATACCGTAATTTCTAATAGATCAAATAACTTAATTTTGAAAATATTGAAATTTCAAAGATTTACACAATCAGGTTTCTAGGGAATTAGAAAATTTGAATTCCTTTATGATTGTAATAAATACAAAATAATTTTACATATTACATATCACAATTCTAATTCATAACAAAGACGATATCCAATTCGTCACTGAATTCCTATGTTTATTGGGACACCCTGTAGTTAGTTGTAGATATACTCTGAATGTGAATGTTTGTGTTAATTATTGATCTGTAGAGAAATATATTCAGAGAGCTTTACGTGTCAGTTAGAGAATACTTAGAGATCGTTTTTTAGAGTTTTGGCATAATTACAGGATTATCCTAATTCTAAAAATTATATTATTAAATTGAAATGAAATATGTTTAAATGGAAAACTATTTAGTGATTTCAGAACGTTTTACTATTTTACTCATAAGATAATTTTATTTATCAAGAAAATATGAAACCGTGTCTGTTTGTTTGTTTGTTTGTCTGATCATAACTCAGGAACCCCTGAACCGATTTTCCTCAAATTTTGATACGGAACTGGGGAGACCCGCGGAAATGTTCTTAGCTTAGGTTCTAAGTTAAGTGGGTCCACTTTTATCGAAAAAATAGCTCTAAGTTAAGTGGGTCCACTTTTAACGGGAAAATAGCTCTAAGTTAAGTGGGCCCAATTTTAATTAAAAAATAGCTTTAAATTAAGTTGATCCACTTTTAACGGAAAAATAGCTCTAAGTTAAGTGGGTCCACTTTTAACTAAAAAAAGCTCTAAGTAGTGTGGGTCCACTTTTAACGAAAAAATAACTCTAAGTTAGGTGGGTCCACTTCTAAAAAAAATAGCTCTAAGTTAAGTGGGCCCACTTTTATCTAAAAAATAACTTTAAATTAAGTTGGTCCACTTTTAACTAAAAATAGCTCTAAGTAATGTGGGTCCACTTTAAACAAAAAATAGCTCTAAGTTAAGTGGGTCCACTTTTAACTAAAAAATAGCTCTAAGTTAAGTGGGTCCACTTTTAACGGAAAAATGGCTCTAAGTTAAGTGGGTCCACTTTTAACTAAAAAATGTCTCTAAATAATGTGGGTCCACTTTAAACGAAAAAATAGCTTTAAGTTAAGTGGGTCCACTTTAAACGAAAAAATAGCTTTAAGTTAAGTGGGTCCACTGCCCACTTTAAACGAAAAAATAGCTTTTAGTTAAGTGGGTCCACTTTTAACGGAAAAATAGCTAAAATCGTAAATTACGACAAAAGTTGGGTGACGGGTGGCACTAACTATTACTCCCCTGGGCAACGCTGGGTTGTGTAAATATATACTCCTGGTCTGAGGTTTGAAGAGAAATTCCAACTTGGTTGTACACTGCACAGTACACTTCAGTCCCCTGACAATAAATAGATGTTTTCTCAATCCGAACCTTGAGAACTTGAAATATATACTCTGTAAACCGAATATATTATATACAGGGAGTAAGGAATAGAAGGGAGATATAACTGACGCGGTTCGCCCTACCATATGATTATGCGTGCTTTGCAGACGGGTACTCCATTTCATTGTATAAAAAAATATTCAGAATACGCGGTAATTGTACATCAGACAAATATTTCAGAGAATTCAGTGACGAATTCGATATCGTCTTTTCAAATAATTCTTTGATTTAGTATAGTGATACCTACTGGAAAGCTGCAATCTGTAAGAGTTTCGTCTGCTATGTTTACATTTAGTTTGTTTATGTTTTGACTGCATACGGTTGTACTTAGTAAAACAAGAAAATTGCAGTATGCAAACAGTGTAAACTTGTCCGTCTTCACTGTTCATCTTGCGGATACATTATTGACACATCTTTACAGCCATTTACCGTTTTCTTAAATTAAACTCTAGCAGACATAATAATATTATGGCTTTTGCAATTAGGTATTACAATGCTAATTCATAACAAAGACTATATCCAATTCCTCACTGAATTCCCATGTCTTTTGGGACACCTTGTATAATCATATGGTAGGGCAAACCGCGTCCGCGTCCCTTCTATTCCTTACTCCCTGATTATATATAGGTGAAAAAGCAACAATCTTCTGAAACATTTTATTTGTAAACACAATGCGTCATGCTTTATGCAATCATTAGTTATATAAATATATTTAAAGAATAAGCTTCAAATAAAAACATTTCAATATATTTCAGAAACTTACAAAACACGATGTATTGTATATAAATTTATGTAAACAAGATTATCCACAGTTGATGCGACTTCACTGATAACCTAAAACTCTTAAAGTATAACTAACTGAAAGAAGTATCCTTATTGGATTTTCTTAAAATTTGTCAAAAATAACAAATTTTGACATCCACTATTCTGAAGATTGATCTAAAACCGTACTGCAGTTGTTTCTGATGTCGAATCCTTTCAGAGTAACCCTGTAATTCTCTGCATGTTTCAAAGAGTATTTGAAAAAATTGTCGGCAACAGATCTTCTACAGAATGTTGCGGTGCCCCAGAATCTGTCCGCATGTTGTACCCTACTGTCCGCATATTGTACCGTACTGTCCTCATGTTGTACCCTTCTGTCCGCATGTTGTACCCTACTGTCCGCATGTTGTACCCTTCTGTCCGCATGTTGTGCCGTACTGTCCTCATGTTGTACCCTTCTGTCCGCATGTTGTACCCTTCTGTCCGCATGTTGTACCCTACTGACTGCATGTTGTACCCTACTGTCCGCATGTTGTATCCTACTGTCCGCATGTTGTACCCTACTGTCTGCATGTTGTACCGTACTGTCCGCATGTTGTACCCTACTGTCCGCATGTTGTATCCTACTGTCCGCATGTTGTACCCTACTGTCTGCATGTTGTACCGTACTGTCCGCATGTTGTACCCTACTGTCCGCATGTTGTATCCTACTGTCCGCATGTTGTACCCTTCTGTCCGCATGTTGTGCCGTACTGTCCTCATGTTGTACCCTTCTGTCCGCATGTTGTACCCTATTGTCCGCATGTTGTACCCTTCTGTCCGCATGTTGTGCCGTACTGTCCTCATGTTGTACCCTTCTGTCCGCATGTTGTACCGTACTGTCCTCATGTTGTACCCTTCTGTCCGCATGTTGTACCGTACTGTCCTCATGTTGTACCCTTCTGTCCGCATGTTGTACCCTACTGTCTGCATGTTGTACCCTACTACATCTCCTCCTTAGAAAATAAAAATGTGAAATTTTAGGATATTTCTTTTTCGCTTCTTTACTCCCCTTTCTGTTTGGGCTGCGGTATATAATATATACGTTTATAATATTTCAATTGATTCTGAACAATAAATCCTGGCATGAAAGGCAATTTCCCAGTTTTGCTGCAGGATTATACAACACGTTCCTATTCAATTTATGTAACAAACTACGATTTAATCCCAGATATATTCAAATAAATACATTTTAAATGAACAGTTATTTTTATCTTACAGAAAAAGTAGGAAATATTTTTAGAATTGTGTTTTACCAACATGGTCCAGTCATATCTATCCATATACTTTTCCTGTCTGTCTGTTTGTATATATATACCTTGCATGTCTGGGTGTTTGTTTGTATATATATACCTTGCATGTATGTCTGTATATATATACCTTGCATGTCTGTCTGTTTGTTTGTATATATATACCTTGCATGGGTGTCTGGGTGTTTGTTTGTATATATATACCTTGCATGTATGCTCTTATTTGCCCACGGGCTATCAGGACATTTTCGCATACAGCGAAGGGTTACCAGGACCTCTCCGGCTATCAGGACCGGCTGTCAGGACCATCGCGTTCACAGTAGGGTTATCAGGACCAAAAAACGGCTGTCAGGACCTTTTTGTTTCGTGTCAGCGCAAAAAACGCAAAGCAAACC